TCCAATCAATGACTCTACATCTGCAGCAGTGGGTGGGATTTTTTTGGGATTTTTTGGGCATATACCAAAATAATTATAATCAGTATCAGTAGGGAAATTACAACAACGTCAAATTCTTCATTTAGCTTGTAAACAGGTCTGGCCTTTTCAGGTTGGTATTTAATGAGAATCCACCACTGTCTTTGTGAGCAAGTATGGGTTGTAGCTCGCAATATGTGCTTTTTATTTTATTACTACAGTTAACTTCGTTATTTTAAAGAAAAAAAAAATTATATGTTATGCAGATGACACCACTTATTCCATTTATTAGTGAAAAAAATTAACTCAAAGGTAACTAAGCAATGTAGTTTAAATAAAATAACTAACAGTTATATAAAAAATGGCAAGAGCTATGGGACCACTGTGAATGCTTAGAGCAGTGAAAATACACTAAAATTGTCAGAAGTTGCTATGAGATATAGCAAGAAATATTTGATGATAGCTTCGCATATAAGCTAGCCTGAAATGATAAAAGGAACCATAAACCTAGCTTAAGCATAAAAGAAACAAAACCACATTTTAAAAATATAACTCTGTAGCTCTAGACACTTCACAGAATGGCTCAGAAATTTTTATCATAAAAAAGGTTAATTTCCTGTTCTGTCTGAGGGAATCTGTGCCTATGTCTCCTGGCTGCACCAGTGACTTGATGAAGTGACAGTGTAGCTGCAGCCACAGGGGTTTTACTGTTACCATGTTGTTATCTCTGTCATTTCATCCTGGCAGATACAGAACAGACTGTGACAGCACAGGTGAAGGGAAGACATGACACCGACAAGTGAAAAGAGGGTTAGGTTAAACTAACCAGAACCACACAGCTTCTTGATGTAAAAGGTTACCTGTCGAACAAAACTGTTGGAGGTAGTGTCGGAGGAGGTGCTTCCATCTGAGCGCTTGAAACGTCCCTTTCTCTTGGCATACTTCCCCTGGAACCAGACAGGACGGTGGGGAAGTGAATTTGGAAAGAAAAATAGAGAAAACACATGTTAAGTTATTGTCATTATTACAGGTCTGTTTTATAAGGACATGAGAACATGGGTGCAGACGGCTCTAGGGACGGATTTATAGTGATAGTATATTCTGTGAACATGAGGCGGCCGTCTGACTGAACCAGAGATAAAGCGGCAGGTCTTACTGACCACAGAGGAAGCGGGTCAGAGAAAATGTCTCTGTGTCCATGAAGCATCTTCATTACTGATCATTTTTTATGTTCTGATGTAAACTGGGACTTTCTAATCTGATTGGCAGCCCCCCCTGGTAAATGGCCTATCCGGGTTGGGCAGAGGCCACACATCGCATTATGGTCCCACTCTACCCACATTGCTATGGTTACGCAATGCACACTAATCGCATTTTGTCTCCAACTGGAAATGGAGTGTTCTCTCTACCATGTGAGGTAAAAAAAAAAGTACCACAGATTAGCAGACAGCTACAGTGACTCTAAGAGAGGACAGAAATGATCAGGAGCTCAGGGTCAAATGTCCAGACAATGTAAGTGAAAGCAGCTCTGTTCTTTATCAGACAGATAGTCAGAGTTCCAAAAATTGAGATTTGAGTTTAATGAGTGTTTATATTTTTATTATTTTATTGAAATGCCAGAGAGCAAACTGTGTGGAGAAATGGAGAAAATACTAATTATTAGCTTTAAAAAAAGACAATATTAGCTTGCAAATATTATACAAAACTTAAAAGTACACCATTCAATACTGGGCGGAGGAAGAAGAAGAAGAAAAACAACAACAATCACTTCCAGCTTGTCTCCTTGTCAGTAGTTTCCACCGTAATCTTTGTTTTATTACTTATTGGACACACTATTGTTCTGCTATTTTTTTCAGCTTCTTAGGTAGAGCGGTGGTCTTAAACATGGGGTCTGTGAACCCCAGAGGACCTCCTGGTACATCCTGCCCAAAAACCATGATTACCACTGGAACCTGAACTTGTGATATTCCTGCAGTAAGCTGACAGCAATCAACACTTTACCGCAGCGCGGCTCATTTTTAAAATCACAGCAACAGGAACATTCCCATACATAAACAAGCCTCACACAAACACAGCCCTGGTACACACACTCACTCAGTCAAACACACCGACTACATCCAAACACTGCCCATAATTGGATTCATGCTCCAAACCCAAAAGTCTGAACACCTTAACTCTGCTACTGATAACAGGGGTAACTACCTGCCAACAGTGACGCCTCCTGCGTTCACACTGTCATCTCGCACATATCGGCTCCGTCGGAGACCTTCAGATGAGCAATGCAGTCCTGCCTTCAAACAAAAACGACCCGCAATACCAGCACCAACTGGTGCCAACATCAAAAACAAACCACACATGCACACACACACACACACACACACACTCCAGAAATTCTGGAGAGGTTTTCAGAGTCCACAAACAAAGAGCATAAAACAAATCCGTTACACACTTCTGCTCCTGAAACACAAGTCCAACCGTATTCATCAGAGGTTGTTTTTCTCTTCCTGAAACCTTTTGAGCAGCACTTGATTAACTGCTGTTAAAAGGAAACACAGCAGGACGTTGTTACAAAATCTTGAGGTATTGATATGTAATATTACATGTAGGTGGGCTGAGTTAAAACAAGACTCTAAAATATGGAATACATTATATCCCACAGTATAATATTGACTTTCTTTGAATTAGCACTTTTTGCCTTTTTTACTTAAAGCAATTTTTGGGCTAGCTCAGAGCTAACAAATGTTTTTTTTCTGTCCTTATTCTCAGTTCGTTCTTGTCAGCATTCCTATGTGTAGGTTAATATTTAATTACTTTTGGCTAACAATACAATTTTAACTATATTTGGTATTTGTTTAACTTTCAAAGAATTTAAAGGTAGGCCATTTTTGTTTTTGCCTTTTGATCGTTTTCCTTTACCTGTCTTTAAGATATATGTTAATATATCTTTCTTTCTTTTTAAATAAACTTTATTGATCCCACACTGGGGAAATTGTTGCGTCAACAGCAGGTCTGCTGCAACAGACGGCCCTCTGGGGACACCTAGTATGTGGTTCCACTGGGAATGGAACCTACGACTCGCTGCTTGTAAGGCAGGCGTGCTAACTGCTACAGCATGGAACCACAAAAGAGATTGGCCCGTACGGGGATCGAACCCGCGACCTTGGCGTTATTAGCACCACGCTCTAACCAACTGAGCTAACCGGCCCCATGCCAGCAGCGGGTCAACAGATCAACAGATGGCAGGGAAATTCCAAAAACGGAAGCGGAGTTTGGAGGCCTCCTATAGGTTGTGTGTTAGTAAACTGTAACTGTGTGTGTTTGTGTCCACATATATTTATACACAGTAACATTTCCACCTCAGATATGATCATTCCTGTGTAACAAAATTCCGTTGGCAAGGCAGGTTCTTTTCTAAAGGTTAAATCCCAGACTGTGCTTCATGCCACTGGGTCTCTAGGCAAAACCCCAAAGCCCTAGTAGCTCCAGGCAGCTGCTTGGAACAGATGTGTGTGAACGGTAATATATGTGAGTAATAGATGTGTGATTAAAGAAACAGTGCAAACTGACGCAATGAATTATGCAGCGAATCAATGTAAAGGGCTGAACAGACTGTAGTGTAAAAGCACTTTGACCACAACAACGTGATGTGTCTTCAAAGTTATTTTTCCTGGCATTTATTTTAAACGGACCTGCTCACAATGCACGTGGGAGGTGTGGCCTCTTAACCAATCAAGCTGAGGAGGTTTACGAGCCTGTAGTGTGTAGTGTTGGGAAAAACAACACAAGACCACAGGGGATAATAACACTCACAACACACTACTGTACTCTAGTAATCATGGGATGAAGCACATCGTCTGAACTCACGCAGCAACGCAGAACAGTATCTTAAAAAAACAGCTCCGCGGGTGTTCAAGGCTTCATGGTTTGTTTGGGTTTTTTTTTTAAAGAAGTCTTGGCTTGTTCTAGTGGTCAAATAAGACCAAGTAAGTTATTTTTTAAAAAATTATAAATACATCAGGAAACCGATACCGCAGAAAATCCACAATCCTGAAGATATATTAGTTTTTTAAATTTAAAACCTACAAAGAGCTAGAAGGGTAACGTTATAGAGATACCATCTGTGATGATGAAGGTTCACAGGTTGATTCCCTCTGGTCTCTAATCCCAGGTTAGTTCATATTCAGAGTAGAAATGTACATGAGGACTCCAGCTGTGGCGACCACAGGTGAAGAGACTAGACATAATACTGAGTACTAGCTAACTAGCCAACCACCAACGTGTCAGTAAAAGGCTAACAGGCTAATGCAAAAATCTCTCTTATACACTTTAGCCTCAGCATGTAGCATGTGATTTCAAAATAAGCCTGCTCTTAGTTTTTACAGATCTATGGCCAACTGCTGTTCTGCATGAACTTTATATCTAATTGATCAAAGGTGCCGAAAGCACACACACTCACCACACACCCATACACACACATACACTACTGTACAGCAGTTCCTGCTGCCGAGCACAAAGGGGTGAGGGGGTTAATCTGTTTCTCACCAAAGCCTTTCAGCTGATGAAGATCTTATTTCTAAAAAAGGACAAAGTCGGGTGGTGAGAAGAGGAGAAAGACGGTGGGACACCCAGACAGGATGGAGGAAAATTCTGGAGAACTGATGATGAGGAGGAGGAGGATAAGGAGATAGATAAAGAACAAGAGCTATAGGAGAAGGAGTGGGAGTGAAGACAAGAGAGCAGGACTTGGAATGGTAGAAAGCACAGGTTGTCTGTGGAGCAGCGTTCATTTTTTCCCTGTAGAGACAATGGCTGAGCTCAGTGTGGGTGTGTTTGTTCTAGATATTTTCATCATCTTTTTTTTTTTGCCTCCTCTAATCCATTTACGCTGCTTTGACAAAACATGCCCACCACGTCATGTCACATCCCCAAAGGCGCAGTTTATTTGTGGTTGTGAAAAGATCGAAATGTGAACAAGCGATTGGTCTGTGTATAAATGGAGCGTCTATTCACCAACTTGGAATTATGAAGGTGGAGGCGTCTTAGATAACATGTTCTTTAAAACTGCCTCGGTATCAGACGTCGAAAAACTCCAGCAACCAAGAAATGGCTGTGAAAATCAGGTTTGCAAGTCCTCCAACGGACACCTGTAAGATCCACCGTTAGATCGGTTATCTAACATTTTTTCAGTTAATGACTTAACGGACAACATATGACCCATATTCTGCCCCTAGTGGTTTTCTTGTCTTCAGACACTGTCTTTCTCTCCTTACCTACTGTAGTGCATGCGTGTCAACAGCAGCCCTGTGTCTGACAGGAGGAAATGGTGATAACATGTGATAACAACAATGGTAACAGTAAAACCTGTGATGACAGAACAGCAGAGTGGGAAAACCACTTTGTTGTAACACAATGTCAAATATCTATACATGGAATCCAAAGCAGTGATTTTTTTTTTCATTTTCTCAATTTTAAAGAAGAAATGTTAACCAGTTAAAGGTGGCACTAATGAAAGCGAATGATGCTAGCACTAGTACACATTTACTATGATCTCACAGGCCAAATGTAATTACACAAGGGGCCAGATTTGGCCCCCGGGCCTGAGTTTGACACCTGTGCAGTAAAGCAATTAGAACTACAGTATGACTGTACAGTTGAGAGATGGAAAGATTTTATTTTGATCTGATTCAGAGAAATCTTGACGGAGAGACCATCCTGTGTTGTATCCACACGGTTAATGATCGATCAAATCAATGGTGTTTAAACTGCATCCCTGGATCAGATGTGGCCTGTGATGTGGTCCGACTTTTCATAAAGAGCTGGTGAATATATTACAGTACAAATATACTCATCTAAAGGTAACGGTAAAATATAAGTTATAATATATAAGTTTTTTCCAGGACTATATCGAGGTGTTTAACATTTCCGTCCTTTCTCTCTCTCTCTCTAGTTTCCTAATTCCTCCCATCTTTCTATTCTTCCTTTCTTCCTTCCACCTTTTCTTTTACTCTCCTGTCCCTCTTGAATTCCTTTAACAAAATGTATTTTATTTTCTTCCTTCCAAATTTTTCTAATTTTTACACTCTCTCTATTTAAATCCTTCTTTAAATATTTATTTTAATCATTTTCTTGCAAAATAATGTATTATTTGTTAACTTGTTAGCATTTACACAACATTATAAAACCAACGAGCTATTCTTTTAGAGATGAACATTATGATCTTACCTTTATATTTATGTCAAATATCATGTTTTCTCTGTGTTGACGTATACGGTCGTTTTTTCTTCTAATAGTAGATCTGTCGCTGTTAGAAGTTTAAAATGTGTAGACAGACACTGGTGCTGTTAACAAAGTACACTGTTGATCACTGTCAGACTTGCATTAGCTGTAATTGCGTGTGATGTAAAGTGACTTTTGGCCCACAGTACAGCTGGTATTTCAAATACCAAACCAGCCAGGAGTGTCTGTGTGTTGAGTCATTATCTTAAAAAAGACAAATATTCTGGTCCCCTGGATGATGTTTCCCTTTAACAATGTCGGTCTGTGAAATTAGATAATAATAACACCAATATTAATAATATATAAATAAATACATAAATTAAAAACTACAAAAAATAACGAAAATTAAAACAAAAATAATGAGTAGTAAATAATATCCTGAATCTTAGCTGTAAAATAACTACGTTGTAGCAGAAAATAAAGCCATAGTTTGACAAGAAGTAGATCAAAGCTAGCCCTGAAATATAGCACGTTCATAAATGTACAGACTTTACATCATTTTTGAAAATTAATTAATATTAACCTACAGCCTGTTCAAAATCCCTACCATTTTTCCTGTAGAAGCCGACTAATACTACTACTACTAATAATAATAATAATACATTTATTCCTACGTGTCATATAAGTATAAATAGTATAATAAGGATTTCTAATCTGAGCTCCGTTGTCGGTTTTTCAGGTGAAAAGCCCGAACAGACGAACAACCTGTTAGTCTCCAGGAGTGAAACCGTTCCAGTGCGACTGAAGAACAAACGAACCACGGTCAGAGATCAGTACCTGCTCTTCTCTCGGCTTTTTCTTACCTGTGTGTGTGGATGATGGTCGAACATGTCCATTTGGATCTCCTGGGTTGAGGTCGAAGGCGTCCTGGACATACTACTTTTCTGTACCATTGATTTAACTTTTGTTGTTGTTGTTGTTTGTGTCTGGTTTTCAAATGTAGGTTCAGTTTTTCTTCTCGTGTGATGGAGTCGACAGCCTCATCGTCTTTTTTCTGCTTCAGCGAGGATGATGTATCTGAGCTGCCTCCTGGAATAATGGCAACAGCTGCCTCCCTCCCTCTCCTCTCCTCCCTCCAGCCTATAGCGTTACACACTAGCGCACCAGGCTTTTACACCATAGTCAAGTCTGCGTTATGACGCACCTTCGAACGTTTCAGAATAAAATACCAGCTGAGAAAAGCCTTTAAACATCTTACTAACATCAACACAATATTTAATATCGTTAAATAAAAAATAATGCATTTATATTATTTAAAATATATGATGACGAACGAATAGATACAAAAAACAGGGAAAAAACACCCCCACATACACACAGACAGACTAACACAAAGCTTAGCTAACATTTTTATTGTGCTTTAGCATAGACCATCAATGGAAGGTACTACAGTGGGTCAGGTTTTATTTTAATTTTAAAAATGTGTTATTTTAATGGAATTTAAACATTATCAAAAATATTTTAATTTATATTAGTTGTTTTTTGTGTGACTACTATACATTTATGAATAAGTATAAACTCAAAGTGCAGAAATACCTGTAATACGTGTAATATTCCAAGATAATGTATAATATATAATATGTAATATTCCAAGACAGAATTGATGAGAGGCAGAACCCTCTCATCAATTCTGTGGTGGGTTAACCACCTGTACAAAGACGTTTGTACCTTATGTGGCCAGAATATGTGGTCCATCACCTCATCAAATCAGACCCAAGTTTACTAAGGATAACATTGGAGCATAACACTGGAGATCAGTGCTAATTCAGTCATTAAAGGCATTTTTTGTAATTCCATAAAACTATCTACTTCTGTTTAATTTAATTTATAAGGATAAATTACATTATGGTGACTCGTTTTTTTCATATTCTGTAGATTTTATGAAACCGTACGTTACAACTGATACACGTAAATTTCATAATTGCTAAGTCCGGGGATAATTGAAGCCGTGCTTTTATTTTGAAGGCAGTGTCGCCTTTATTCCGGTACACTCCTGTGTTTTTTCTGCACCTTGATGCCGTTCCTCAGTCCAGTCTGAGCCCCACAGACTCCAGCTGGGAGCTGGTGGTCAACGCCCCGCTGAACAGACCCCACCTTCACTCATCAAGTAGGGGACAGCAGAGCCCTGGTGATGGTGGGTAGTGTGGACAGACAGATGACAGATGAGCCCACTGCTGCCCCACACTGGGATCCTGAGAGCAGGGCCACGGGTGGGTTGTAATGATGTGAGAACTGTTCAATTTCACAGATAGTTTGCCGGAGCAGCGGGGGAGGAGAAGGAGACCTCCTATTTGATCTATCCACATACTGAAGGAGTGACATGGCCATGAGCTAATGTACACCAAGACCCTTCCTCCAGAGAGCAGCCGCTCTTTGATCCTGGATGTGCTGTGATATGGAAATGTGACGAAGGCCGTGGACCTATATACACGGTATTGGACAGGCTGGCCTCAGAAAATCCCAGGAACCTTATATTGGGACTAGGGGAAAATATGGTAGAGAAAGTCAAGTCTTTTTCTTGGTCTCGTCTGTGAATTTGAGATTGAAAAACCTTCTCATACAGAAAAAATCTTGTGTAAATAGTTCAACACCCATGAACACAGATACACACGTGTACAGTACACAGGTCTAAAACAATTTCAATAAACCTTATTGATCCCACACTGGGGAAATTATTGTGTTAACAGCTGGGCTGCTGCAACAGGCCGCCCCCCTGGAGGCGCCATGTATGTGGTTCTTCCAGAAATCCAACCCAGGAGTGCTTGCAAGGCAGGCGTGCTAACCGCTACACCATGAAACCACCAAACGAAACAGAATTCACTGACTGACAAACTGACTTTACCCAGTGTAATGGAAGGAAGGGAAAACAGTAAAATGTGTTATTTATTTTCCTAAATAAGTCCTTTATTTAAGATAAACATTTGGAAATGAGAATGTACTAGCTTTTCTGTACAGTACACACATCAAACATCACACAGTTCAACTGCCTTTTTCAGACAACGTCAAACTTCTTTGAGTCACACGGCCTAGATGACATCAGAGCGATCGACTGAGTGAGCCTGGATAAACAATGAACGCTGAATCATCCACCTCCACTTCTCACAGATATGAGGCAGGTGGAGAGAATCCTTGTGATCCGATTGAAGGTGGTAACTCTGGACTGAACACCCACCAGATCTTCCTGTGTGACTGCAGCGCGTACGTACACACTTCCGCAGAGACGGACCGGAGGAGGCCCTGCTGAGTGCTGTGACGGAAGCCGTCTCTGCCGTTGAGTCACCGTCAGTCCTGCAGCAGCAACAGCTGGTTGACATGGTCCTCCGAGGACACCAAAGAGGGAGCACTGATTTCAGCCCCTGTCCTCTGGGACACCCACTTGGACTCTGAATACGCAGACACTAAATGACAATTTTTGTTTCATTTAGCTGGTACTCAGCTCATCCAGAGTAGGAGACATGTCTAAAGTACCAGGGTTTATCACCAGCATAAATAAACCTTCCTTTCATTCATATATTATTGTTTCAGTGTTTCCCATAAGGGAGAGTGCGTACCTCAGCCTTGATTATTTTTATGTCCGTGTGACCATTCCAAACAAGTCAGAGGACATAAATAGTGTTTGACCAACAGTAGACCATCTGTTCATTAATTAGAACATTCAGTAAGATTGACGTCAGAGCTGAAAAGCACTCTTGTCCAGAGAACAGTCACACGGCTGAAGAAAAAAAGTAGCATTCTAAATGTGCAGTGATCGTATGCTGATGTAATGTTTAAGAACGAGGGAAAAAAGCTGAGATTTTGAACAAAAAGACCTTCAAGATGAACAGGGGGCATCCGGAATTGAACCAGAGACCTCTTGATCTGCAGTCAAATGCTCTACCACTGAGCTATACCCCCTTTGCAATACCTTTCTGGGATTTGATTTAAAAACTAAATGTTCAGGCCTTCCATGTCTTACATGGTTGACATGAACTATTCCAGTGAGTGGTGACTTCATCACTACTGGCAATTACCTTGGAATTAAACCTTGGTATAAGAACCTAAAGGAACTGATATGTATTTTTCAAGCCTGAAAAGAAGCCTGGTAAGGAACAGAAGAAACTGAAACTGTAGGCAGAGTTGTTGGGGCTGGATATAAACACCACCCAGACTCCAGCCAACTCAGATCTGACCTCCATGGAGTGAGAATAAAGATTTGCATTATTTGCATTGGATTACTTACAAAGTTTGTTATTTTTTGGCAACATTTCTCAAGTTTTTTAGAGTATTTATAATGTACATGTAAAACTTTTTTTTAAAATAGAGAGAGAAAAAAATATTTAGCATTTTCTCAGATGCTTCAGAACAAACATGACCTGAGAGTTATCAACAATACAGGATATAGAGGCGCAATGTAGGAGGAACATCTTCTGTCTGCAGCTTCTTCCCACTGCCAGATTGACTTATCATAACAATAGGTCAAAAATGAAACAGCAGCGTTTAGATTCTGGCATTGGTTTATTCCAGGAGGAAGACTTAGAGTTGCAGGCACAGTCACACTTTCATTTGTATGCATTTGAGCCGATGTTACCCAATAAACCACAGAGATGTGAAACAAAAGTGTAAGAGAGACTCGAATGCTAAAAAAAAACAAAAACAACGGAAGACAGAGAAAGTCGTTCCAGTCGTCTGTCCCTGCTCCTGGTCCAGTATTTTCAGTAGTACTTCACTGGGTGATGGTGATTTTATTTCTGGGTTATGTGAGGTGAAGGAGTGCTCCTCATGCTCCCACACTGTGAGCTTACACTGTTTCCATGGTGAGGCTGCTGCTTCTGCTGCTGCTGCTGTCTGAGAGATGAAACAGTGGTAATCTTGATAAGCAACCGGTCAAATAATAATGTGCCCACCAGCTATTCTTTTAACAAATGTCTTCATAAGTGGCCACTCTGAAGTGCTAATATTGCTGTTAGTGATTGTTTTCAATAGAAACATTACAAAAGCCAAACAGTGCCTTTGCCTGTAATTCTTTAATCTGTTTCCAGTTGTCTCTAATTTAGTTACAATTGATTTTTCCCCCTGGTTCAGACAAAGTGGAAATGAGATATAAATGGCAAATTTGAGGAAATTGATTTAGTAAAAGGAAACAACGTGTGCTGGGTTTCCTAGAAATGAGACTAATCAGCTGTATAGTGGCTGACTTCCAGTTTATAATTAAAAATGAATGTTTTGAAAGGCCATGTGATTAGGTCTCAGCCTTCATGGTTAAACCTTGGTGCTACAAAACCTTTTTTCAAGGGTCTAGATTTAAACATGTAATATTACTAACGGTACACTGCTACTCATGTATCAGACACATTTATTTTGACAATAAAACCAATAATAAAACCAATAATATATAATCCAAAATGTATGTAAAAATTAAACATACTAGTCAAAGTTAACTAAAATGAAAAATATTTTTACTGATAGTCTGGCATAAATGTGCATTTGAATAAACTAGTTGTCCTTTAGCCAGACAATAAGGAGATTCTGACTCTAATAGTACCTTTGGTCATACCTGCATGCAGATATATTGTTCTTGATATAGTGATATATTGTAGAGCGTTTTTCTTCTACTCTTTGTTTTGCATCAAGTGAAGTAGCGCTCAAATCTCATTGTACACTGTACAAGGACAATAAAGGCTATTCTATTCTATTCTATTCTATTCTATTCTATTCTATTCTATTCTATTCTATTCTATTCTATTCTATACCTGAAATGCCATACCACAAGAGATAAGTTGCATATCGGGTTGACATGGCAGCGCACAAGTCAAGAAGGCAAACTCTGATATAAACTTGTTGTTAATGCATTCTGAACTTTTGAGTGATGCACTGTGAAATTCACCTCGCTAATTGTGTGAAAAACACCTTTCAGCGAACATACAGCAGGATGGAAAAAATACCACAGAAAAGTCGAAGTAAGGTCTTAATTATGCAGCTCTAGCAAAAAATAAAGTTACAGCTGAAACACATTCGCTTTGGACTTGTAAGTATGAAGCACTGAGGTGTTTTGGACTAATCACTATGTTCTGTTCTGAATCTGCTCCTTCCTTCTGCTGGAGATTTTATTTGAACCACTTCAGGCTTTAGCTGT